ATGTTAGACTGCTGCCACCACATTCATTTATATTCCTGTGACATATATTTGTTCTTTGATATCTTTTTTTTTTTGTATGAGGATTTCATGAGTTGACAGCCTGAAATAACACTAATGTGAAAAAGAATGTTAAGTGCTACATGCAATGGGTATAAAAATTTAAATTTGTTTGCTTATTTTCAGGCTTTGGGTGCCGGATTCTCTCAATTTGCTGAGCCTGTATTTCAGAGGTGCATAAGCATCATCCAGTCCCAACTACTCGCGAAGGTTCAATCCTGGTCTTTTGATTGTTCATGAATTATCTGACAAGATTGAACCCTTTTATTATTTATTACAACCCCTTCTCCCCTGTATAAGGTTTCAAAGATAGGATTAATGGCTTTCTTGCTTTCAAGTCATAGCTAAGTTTGCATATCTTGGAATTAGAGACATACGTATTATTGATCTCTGTATCAATTTATCAGTAAAATGCTTAGTTTCAAAAATGTTACTTATATTCCCGAAGTTTATCTTTTATACACTGCATAGATAGTGCCCATTGGGATTACTTCAATATGTCCGCTTCTGGAAACTATAAAAGCCCAAAATGTTCTCAAGTGTCTCATTGTATTCTATATAACCACCTTTGGAATTTTGAATATCTGTATTGCTAGTGATTTTTTCCCTTTTCCTTTGGGTAGGGGCAGGAAACATATATTTCTATTAAAGAGATAGGAAGGTTCCAAGCAAAAAAATTATCCAATCCTAAAAAATATTAAGCTACACCAACTTAAATCACATATTACACTAAAAGGTAATATCCCTAAAAATGTGCCTTCAATTACCTGTATCACACCCGTCGTACAAGTTTTCAAAGTTTGTATGTAGTCCCATGTCCATCTGGGTGCCTCTAATATAAGAAATTTCTCTGGACTTCTTTTGCAGGCTGATCCTGTTTCTTCCGGGGTCCCATATGATAAAGAATTTATTGTATGCTCTCTTGATCTGCTCTCTGGACTTGCTGAAGGTCTTGGCAGCGGGATAGAGAGCTTGGTATTTTCCTTCTCCAATTCTTTATGGGGAAAAGATATGAGATAACATGTATTTATATCATTATTGAATGTTCTTTGTCTTAAATATTTCTTTTCCAGAATAGTTTTTTACCCCTAGAAAGCAAGGGTTTGTGCATTGGCCTCTCTGACAGTTCATAAAAAACCAATGCAACATCTCCTTTGAAAATTACGTGGAATCCACTCATTACATAGCCCATACTGCCCCTTTTAATGCTTTAGCCTCTTCCATTGTCAAATTACTATATAGCTTGCATATTGAAATGTGTTTTCATGTTTCTTATTTGCACTTGTCCAGGTTTCACAGAGCAATTTGAGGGACCTGCTTTTGCAATGTTGCACGGATGATGCTCCGGATGTCCGGCAGAGTGGCTTTGCACTACTTGGGGATCTTGCAAGAGTAAGTTGAGAATATATCTGTCAAATGATGTGCAATCTGGGTTCCTGTCCCATCCTTGATATTTGTGCAAAATTTGAGAGCTTACTAAATTCTCCAAAAGAAATAGATAACACAATGCCACAAGGCTAATGTAGTGGAAGCTACTAATAGCTGTTAATTTATCAGTGAATTTAGTTTTTCATGCCTAACTGTTGTCTTTGCCTTTATTTTGAGTAGGTATGCGCAGTTCATTTGCGACCTCGTTTGCCAGAATTTATTGATGTGGCAGCCAAGCAACTGGTATGTAAAACTTATTGAGAATTTTCAGTATTGCTTTTTTTGGTCGAATTCAGTATTGCTTTTAGCAGTCATAATTTATGTGATATCTTGTTGTACAGAATACTCCTAAGCTGAAGGAAACTGTTTCAGTTGCAAATAATGCATGTTGGGCCATTGGAGAGTTAGCAGTGAAGGTAAACTTTCAATGAAGTTGGCTAGATATAAAATTTAAAATGTAAAGCTTCAGCTGGGGCTTTTTCATTTTTATGACTTGAAATTGTGTGGTTGCTTGCGCTCTTTTTAGATGATCACCATGATCATTGATCAGTTCTTGTTGTCATTGTGTAAAAGGACAAGATGGAGCAATATAAAATCTTGGTGGGCTCAACTTATTTATCAGGGTTTCCATCATTTAATTGATTTAAGAGCAGTCCTTTATTTTTCTAGGTGCCCTTCCAGATGTTGAGAAATTTATTAATTATCTGTTCTTTTTTAAATAAATGCAAGCCAATTTTGTACGCAAACACATAGAGTTTTGAAGTTGTGAGCAAACTTTTGTTATCAACACATACATATACACCTGCCAGTATCTGTGTTTGTGTCCTGTATTGGTTTGTGCATCTCTTTTGGTTTCTTATGTTTCTCTATTCCTTGTTACTTAGTGACTCAGATATTCTACTTTTAATTGCTTGATGATGTTATCAGGAAAGTAACTTTGAATTTCAGGTTCGACAAGAAATTTCTCCAATTGTTTTGACGGTTATCTCTTGCTTAGTCCCCATCCTTCAACACGCAGAGGTGATTTCTTTTTCCATTATAATTGTAACATGTACCTTGGAGGAGGTGTCATCTTTTAATTGCATCTCTTGATGCCGAGCAGGAGCTCAACAACAAGTCGCTAATTGAAAACAGTGCTATCACACTTGGGAGGCTTGCGTGGGTCTGTCCAGAGCTTGTGGCTCCGCATATGGAGCATTTTATGCAATCTTGGTGCATTGCTTTGTCAATGTAAGTTTTATACATCTACATTTGAAGTAGCAATATATGCTTCCTCATAATGCTTATTACGTTTTCACAGCTATACTTTGTTTCTGACATGCAATTCAACTCACAGGATACGTGATGATTTTGAAAAGGAGGATGCGTTCCGAGGTCTCTGTGCTTTGGTATGCCTCTGTTCTTTTCCTTTTTTTTTCATCGCACGTTCCACATGTATACCTATTTACACTTTCGCTTGGATTTTCTCAAATATTTCAGGTTAGAGCCAATCCATCTGGAGCATTGAGTTCACTCATTTATCTGTGCAACGCTATTGCAAGTTGGCATGTAAGAATCATGCTATACTCATCTGTGGATTTTACAAAGTGTTCGTGTTTTTTGTACAAGCTCAAAGTTGTGATTGCTATGTTTTATAGGAAATAAGGAGTGAAGAGCTTCATAATGAAGTTTGCCAGGTGTTGCATGGTTATAAGCAGGTTAGTGTTGCTTTTATTATGTAACATCCTTGAGAGTTCTAATAATTTTCTGTGTATAAACCTTGAGATTGTGAAAATGTTTTGATAGCTCTTTTGGAAATAAAACACTCAAACAATATGAAACTCTGCCAAAAATTAGTAGGTTATTGGGGTGGGGGTGAAGTTTTTCATTTCAAGATAACTGGTGCAAAATAAGACAAGATAATTTGATTTACTTGTTTGAAATATGCAACCCTGCAGATGCTTGTGAATGGAGCATGGGACCAGTGTATGTCTGCTTTGGAGCCACCAGTGAAGGACAAGCTGTCAAAATACAGAGTGTAATATTGTACCCATAGCTGATTTATTGTACCTGCTGGTTCTCTCTCCTCTATGTGCTCATACAGAGCACCATATTTGTGTCTACACTATTGAATTTGTGCATCATCCATTGCATTGTGGTCATGAGTTTTACAAGCAAAGTCCAAATTTTTGGTCCCTAATTTTTACGCGGAAGCTTTGTTGTCGACTCAAATGAAGCTAAAGTTAGCTTTGAATTCGTCCGTAAAGTGCATGACCTGACAAATGAAGCAGCGTAGGCTTGGGACAAGAGTGTGGTGTACAGGGGTGCAGCTTCCCAAGCTTTGAGGGTGTGTTCGTTCTTGTTGTCTTGTATTTAGAGAAAGGCAAGAAGTATCTCGTTCGAGTCTTGGATCAATTGTTTTTCATGTTAGATTTAGAGTTTTGCATTATTCAACAATTCCAGTGATTAGGGTTTCTATCTGTGATTTTCACAGATTTTGTACAAGGGAGGTTTTGGCATTTAGTTATAAGAATTTTCCATTAAAGTTTTCCATTGTTTCGTATATGGTTCAAAAGCTGTAAACCTTTTATTTGGGGACGGAGCAAAGTTACTCTTGCTGTGCTAAGCAGCTGTGGTATTTGAAACCTTGTGTCTCACGAATTGATTGAAATTGATTTTATGTTTGGAAAAATAACAAGCAATCTTTACCTGTTTAAACTTGGATATAACCTTTTCTACATGCAATGAATAATTTGAAAACTAGCCGCTTGTTATTTGGTAATTGGTTCTTAAACAAAAACTTATTTTGGTGAAAAACCCTCTTGGGGTAGGGGAGGCTACCCAATCCTAGAGTCAGGACACTTTGAGGACTTTACAAAGTGGGTTTTAGCCCTTTTTTAAGTTTTTTCATATTATCCACAAAGAGGGATTGTTAGCAGCGGAACTCGAACCTAGGTTCCTTACTAATTCAACCAACTCTCGTTGGCATTTTCGGATAATTTCAACTCAAATCAACCAATTAAAAAGTTATAAGTGGTTAATCTTGGGTTTTTCTTTCTCTGAATAGGCACTATAAGGATTTTGTATATCATGTCATGTCAGAATGGGCCTATTTGTGGAAAAATCCCTAATTTGAAACCGATTACATGATGGTTCATTCAAGCTAAAAGAACTTCCAATTGAACGTATTTAAAATAACTACATGCAATGAATAATTTGAAACCTATTTTTCTCTGTTTTTTATTATATATTTATATGAATTGTAATATTCTAAACAAACAATTTAATCTCGTGTCATCATTTAAAACCCTAAATTGGAATCACAACATTTAAAGTCATAAGTGTATCCTTATATCTGTCGTCTGATCAACTTTGGTTATTGGGATTGCAAATTTTTATTTTTATTTTTTCTGGTTGTGATTGTTTGGCTGGGTGGTTACCAAAATGAATTAGCTTCTAATGGTTTAATTAGCAATCACATGCATAGGGAAAGGACTGTCTTAACGAACCACGGGGCAGCACGATATAGCACAAGATTAAGCTGAAAAGCAACTCTTCATCATTTGGTATTATGCTGCAGTTTGGGCAAGAAGTACACAAAATAGTGAGGGTTATGCATTCAATTGGAGGCAGATATTTCTAATTATGCCTGTAACACTAACAGAGGCTTGAAATCTAACAGCAGAGCTCCATCGTACTTCTGGTATTAATCTTTGATTACAGGGTTCGCCTGAGAATCAAAGCCAACAGATAGCTGAGGACAGAGTCAGTTGATGAAAGTGCCACAATGAGTAGCGCCACAAGAACAAGAGTCAGAGTAGCAGTCTTCAGCTGCACGAAACAATAAAACAACCTCATATTGTAATCACATTCGTACCCCATGAAAAACGACCACATAAGTATCCACAGGTTGACTTAAAATTCTGCAAATTCACAACAAAGGATTCATAATTTTACATCTTTATAGTGTACTATACGTTTTTGCACATACCGTGCTACGGAAACCTGGCCATTCAATGTACTTCAGCTGACTAGGCTGCTCAACCAGAAAAACGAATAACGATCTCAAACCCCTAAAAATGGAGAAAAACAATAAAACATCACTCTCTTAATCACATATAACTGTTATTCTTATGCAAGTCCACCAACTGGGGATCCGAATTATCAAAGGCCTATTGACAATTTTATGATTTGAGAGGGACAATTACCACACTGCTTCTTTGAAAAGACTCAAAAAGTAGGGATCCTGAGGTAAATCATCATCAAAGCTCAATTGAAGATGATCCCTCCTCACAGATGCAGCACATATGGTGCCAATACGACTTGCAGGCAGATATTGAATCCCTCCTTTAACAGTCTGCAATAACAAAACCCTAATCATGAATAATCGAGCGTCTACTAGATAATTGGACACAAAATATGAATTCTAAAACAAAAGATAAAATTACCCTTCTAGATGCCATTGAAATGGAATCGTAATTATCAATTTTGGCCCCATTATATTTCCTGATTCCAAATGGTAGTTTAGCATGACCGTAATTATGAATCAAATCTGCCATGAAGTAGAGAAAAAATTGAGTACAAATTGAGCATCACAACATGGAAAATGTAAATGGAGTAAAAATTCCAATAAAGTAATATCCAAGAGAAGAGTGAGGGGATAGTAACCTGAACAGTTTGCCACTGACTGCGAAACAGCCCCCATCCTAGGTCAAAATAGCTGAACCGCATGAGAAATTATACACACACATATATAAAATATCAATAGTGCAGCTGTTTCAAACAATGAAGCAATTGTCAAATAAAGAAGCCGTGAACAACATATTATTATATAGACAATCCCAACCCAAAACAAATCAAATAAAGAAGCCAATTATGGTTCAGGTTAAGTGGGAACAAATTCAATTCAGTTCCTTATCCTTCAGCTCCAAAAACCCACCTAAAATTTTCAATTGGGTCTGATTTTCATTAGCAAATTCTTAGCCAGCCCCAACCCACCTAAAATCTTCTGTAAATAAATCTACGAAGCTACATCCCATGAAATGTAATAACTTTCAGTCATTTTTCAAGCAAAAATTCATTCTTTTTTACTCTCTTTTTTCTTGGGATTTATATACATACAATAAATTCATGAAGCACAAAAGAAAGGCCACAGTTTTGCGAGTTACCCACAACTTAAAAAACGCACCGTCGCGTCCTATACAAATTGAGAAAGAAGTGGTGGTGCTTACCTGCTCGGCCTGGTCGCTTTGGTTCGCGCGCGCGCACAGTCGTACAAAGAGAGAAGGACGAAGGGGGAAAATCAACGACAGCAGCACTGCCACCGTTTTGTTTGGCCCCCGAGTCAAAGCGCAGCGTATTGAATGTTGATTACTGAGGGAAAAACAAAATCTTTTGTGAAATAGTTCATTTGCAACAGGTAGATTGTTACTTAAACACCTGACATCAATGGATAGTTTTATGTCAATGATTAGTTGGTCTAGTGACCTCTAATCCTCATTTTATTGGAAGAGATTTCGAGTTCAAATCTCATTAACTACAGTTGAATCAAAAAGAAAATTTAATTGTCCAAATATTAGCATGTCAAAGTATCTTTTGCTGATGATAAGCGACAGTGGTAAAGAGAAAGGTTAGAGTTAATATCATGTGCTCCTTCCTTACATTGTCATAAGTATTTGGTAATTTTCTTGTTACCCTTACTTTGTTGAATTCATAAGAAAATCTTTAGACTAAAAAACAAAAGAGAATTGAAGTATTGTTTTAGGCACATTTCTTAAAGTTTGAGCAAGGTGCAACATGACTTCTGTACGCCCAAGAATTAGGTGACATTTAAAATCAAGAGATGAATGGTCAATTTTTAGGGCTTTTTTTTCGTTTGATATAGAAACGAGAGATTCGAATTTCGGACATCCAAAATGTGAAAAAAAATTATTAGACTAACAATTACATTAAAATCCTAAAGTGATAGGACAGACAATTGATTTGTTTTCCTCCTTTAGGGATTCTTGAATTTCAACTTCAATTTTTCAAAGGGCCGGCCTGCCTTGTTCCAACTTCATTTCATTGTAATCCTCACTGCAAGAAAATGGATCCTTGTCCACTTTCTCTAACACTTGATTTACAAAGAGTTAGGTAACTAATAACTATAATCTCACCTGTCTTTGTCATACAATTTTTCCTTACCTTCTAAGCCACCATATTGAAATCATGTAAATAAGTGACGTGTACACCTATTTCGTTAAGAGAGTAATATTCTCTAATCAAAATTAGATCATAAATGTTAACATGATCTCACTTGATCAACGATTATAATCGGCACTTTCAAGACCGTAGCCATAGGTCTGAAATGGTTGTGACCCCCAAGTTTCAGAAAAGTCTTTGAAGTCCACATGAAACTTACAAAACTATGTATAATTCTTGGTAAGCTTTTAAGATGTTGCGCCCCAAGATACCAAGTGTAGCTACGCCACTGGGTACTTTGGTCACACAATTAGGCAAGAACAAACTACCCTTAGTTGATAAACAAAGTTTAATATGTTACAAATGTACTTGCCTGTGTATGTGTGTGTATATCTTGGTCTGGCTGGCATTTTCTGCTGGGTTGGTTGGTTTCATATGGAAGGGAACAGTTGTATCTTTTTTTCTTACCAAATACCCTCATTAAGCTTATAATTAATAGGAAGACTAGTTATAGTTATGCCTTGTATAATGGAAATTTGAAAACAAAATCAAAAGCCAGCACAGACTTTTGTATACATTTCAGTTTTAAATTCAATGCGAAACACATAAGAAATGTGGTGGTTGGAGGAACTGATGCTGATTGTGATGCTGGGCAGCTGCCATTTCTATTCTGTCCCATTTCTCCTTCCTCTTGATTTCTGCTTGGTGAGCTTTGGATTCTCTGAGCTCAATTTCTTCAAGGCACTTGGAGTGCAAAACTGGATCCATTTCTTCTAGCATCACCTTCACGTTTTCTGTTAATTGTCGGACGCTTTTGCTCCAGTGCCACTTTAAGTTCTTCTCCATGCCTTCAACCACAACTGGAAACACTTCCTCCATTGCCACCGATATCATCTTTACGAACTGCTCGTTGTTCCAAATGTAGAGCGCTCGCTCTGCCACCTAAGTCCAACACAAAACAAAATATAGCAGAAGATTATGGTACTTACCAATAAGTGCAGGACCCTAAAGCTAAAACTAAAGCTATGTGAAACTTAAATATGAATTCAAAGCATAACAGGATTTCAAGAGGCTTTTACAGGAAAATTTTCATTCTTTGCAGCCATCAGCATACGGTTTAATTGTACTAGTTCAAGCATTAAAAAATGAGAGGTATTTATTTTTCGAAGGATTGGTTAATGATGTTCTGTTTGTTTGCTAAGAAAGCATAGGAAAAAGAAGACAGATTTGGATTCTTGATATCTGATTGGAAAGTTGGCAAGCCAGAAAATAAAAAACCATGTACCTGTGAGTTCCAACTGTTCAAGCATCTTGTTATCTGGAGACATAAAGGCAGGGCTAACTTCCTATATTGATCAGGGTCAATATTCTCCACCAGTTCCTCCAATTCCCCAATCAGCAAAACCTCCTTCTGGCAATTAGTCACAGGCCAATACCTCAAAATCCCTCTAACAACAATCCCACCAAGCACAGGCTCCTTCTGCACAAACTGAGACACACAATAAGCCAGCTGCCTATGGTAAGCTTGCATCCCCTTGGTCTTGTGAAAAGGAATAAGCACCCTCATCAAGAACAGCTTGTGCTCTTCTTTTAGTGGAACTGTAAAACCATTGATGATGCTTCCCCATATCTCAAGCAACTCTTTGATCCCATAATGCCTCTCTGTCTCAAACACATAGTGCAAAAACACATCATTCATCGATTTCCTCATGAACGAACGGTAGAATGTGAATCTGGAATATATTCTGTGGTACACATTCTTCAAGCTATCACGTTCCCTCGGGTCTTCTGATTGGAACAAGGCAAGAAGATTGACAACAAATTGGTTATTAATGTAACCTCTAAGTAACCTAGGATCTGTGTTGATCACAAGCCGAATGAGGATGTCATAAACTAACTGCAGGTGTGACCATAATGGGGAAAAGGTAGATATGTGGTCTTCATCATCCGGGAATTCTGCGGCACTGGAGGTATTGGAAGGAGGAGGGAGAGGCCTAAAGAGGTTCAATGATATCATTGAAATGAGAGATGACATAACTTGATCATGCAGAGGCTTCTTTGAGGATTTTACAATAGACAGAAGCTGCAAAAGCTTTTGCCTTTTGAGTTCTTGTTGTGAAGCACATTCACTTGGATCAGTGAAGGTGAAGACAAAGGTGCAAAAGGAAATAGAAGAAAGAATTTCCTCATTTTCCAAGTTGGAAGAAGAAGAACTCCCAATATTGGTGGTGCCAATCTTCTTTCCATTAATAACAGTTGCAGTCTTTGAATCAAGATCAAAGAGGTGTTGAAGGGTAGTTGATTTTCTCCTTGGTGAAGCTCTTGGTGTATTGTTTTGAACACCCATTTTTCTTTTCTCTCTCCCTCTCTTTTCTTCTAAGCTTTTTCTCCCTCTATCAGCCTATGCACTTTATGAGCCTCATATTGTTTATGAAAGTGTGTAATTGGTCATAATTTTTCCACTAGCTGCTGAAACAGAGAACACTTTGCTATTTCCTATAGATCTGTTTTTGACTTGTTTAGGCTCCTAATTCTCCCATAAAGGCCAAAAAGCCAGCGGTGTTATAGAGACAAGAAAGTGTTGTAATATCCGTTCAATATCAAAGACTGCAATTTTAACAGAAACCCAATTAGCTGGTGAAGTAAGGTTGAAAGCAAATACATCTTTCTTTGTTCGTGCTCCTCATCTGTGTGAGTGCCACGTGGATTTTGCCTGGTTTTTGTAAGTTGCAGACATAACAGCTTGTGGCAACTCATAAGAGAGGATGTTAGAAACATGACAACATGTCATAAATATTAGTCAGGTTCAGCTTGCATGTGCCTCACCAACCTATCGGCCTCCGCATTTTGAGTGGGGGGGCCCAAATTGTAAAAGTCACCTTCCAAGGGACTGTTTGGCAATCATATCACAAAGACCATCCAAATTGTCCTTGGGTTGGCATTTCAGTAGAGAAAACGAGCAGAACCTGAGTTATTAAGCAATGGGATAATGGCTTTTTTTGTGAGGACGATAATTGTCAAATCGGTTGCCAACGGGTCCATAGTTCAGTGACAAGAACATTTACCTGCAGATCAGTGGTCTCAAATTTAAATCCCAATAGCACTTCCCCTACCCTTCCATACTTTGACCCCAAAAAAATGTCACGAGCTTGTTTGTTTTGATGCAAGATTGGGAATTTTTTCAGGGACCTATTATTTGCACGCCAAAACAATTTTTTTTTTTAATTGAAGAATTGAGCAAGCATAAGAAGCACCATCAGATATAAAATCTACCAATTAATGTGTGAGCTTAAGCTCTGGTCCAAAGAAATGGAATATGTGTCAAGTACGAACTAAAAACACAAGACAAAAATCCAGAACCAAGAATAAACTATCTTAAAATCCTAGAGGGCTTATCGTCTTCTCTTGGGCAATAAAGACTGAAAGAGATGTTCAAGTGGTGACGGCAATGGTGATCTAATTTCGGCACATTGGTTTTCTCACCCTTATCAATGTTCAAATCACAGCAAAACCACATACTTTTATATGCATAATGTATGCATGAGACAGATTTCAAGAAATAAGTAAAAGGGCAAAAAAAAACTAGGATTCACAGTTTAGAGACAACTAATAATGTCAAAATACCAAGATGGCTACTAGAATTCATGAAATCCAAGGTTCGTTACACTGATGATCTGGAGCATGAATATCTGGAAGGTCAGAATTCATGGAGAAATTAAACCATCCCTTTTTTTTTGTGTACTCAACACAAGGCTGCAGAACAAGCCCAATGATCACAGCAGAGATGCTTATAGCCATCACCTTTGGAGAAGCAAGAGCTAAAACTACAAAAATTAACAGTGTCGGAGGAATGCAGATCAAAATTGCTCCAGCAGTACCAACAGGTATCTTAAACGGCCGCGATGCAGCTGGGTGTTTCATCCTCAACTTCACAAATGCAATGAATTCCATAATCATTCCGAAGCAATACAAGTAGTTCTCCGCGGCTACGATCTCTTGGAAGCTCAACCACGAGAGTAAAATAACGCCCGATGCAGAGAATAAAATTCCAACAAGAGGAGTACCATGACGAGATCTTTTGGCAAAGATTGAGGGAAGCATCCCACGTTCTGCCATACCCAGAAGTTGAAAGGAGTCGCTGCTCATTTCAGCCACAAACATACCCATGTTTGACAGTGCAGATGCTGCTAGGACCCAGGATCGTAACCATACACCTCCAAGCATTTTAGCAATGTCTGCGAAATAACCATCAGACCACAGTTCACGATCAACTGGAACAGCTCCAGTACCGATCAGAAGGGGGAAAATGTATCCAACCACAACCAAGATAAGAGCATAAAAGAGAGCTTTCGGAAGAGTTGTACCGGGGTTTTCCACCTCCCCTGATAGAGTACTAATGGAATCCCAGTAATTAAGATTCCAGAACAGAGTGTTCAAATACAAAGTCCAATTTACGCTGTCCAGATTTACCAAAAACCACCTGGATGGATTTAGCTTGGGGATTGCTATAAATCCCATGAATATGAAAGGAAGAAGTGAAAACACCCCCAGCAAGATAGCAGCCCAACCCACTATTGTTAAACCCCTGTAGTTCATGTAAGTGAGAATCGCAGTCAAAACCAGCACTGCAATTGTCCTTGGGAGACCACTTTCCAAAGCTGGAATTGCTGATTTCAGATAGTCCAGAAACAGAACAGGGTATAGAGCATTATCAATTACCCCACTAAGCCATTTCACCCAACCTTGCTGAAAGCCCCAATATGGACCCAAAGCTGATGAGACCCAAACAACATACCCTCCATTCTCAGGGAACATAGTACCCATTTCTGCAGTTATCAAGGCCTCTGGAACACTCCATATGATTGCAAAAACCAGAAAACCAAGAAGGGCTAAAAGGGGACCGGCTGCCTGGACACTGTCTTCCACGCCAAATGGCCCTCCCGAGACCTCATAGAAGATCAAGAATACAAGAGGTATAACTGAAACCTTTTGGTACTTCTGCAAGTTGTGAGAGGACCCTTCCCCCAAACCAACATACTCAGCAATATCGTTGTCCAACATTTTAGCATTACTTTGCTTAGCAAGTGAGTTTCTATGTTTCTGCATTCAACAATAGAAAGGCACGGTTTTCAAGATTTGGAAAGTTCAAATTGGAAAAGGAACAGAAAATTACAGTATAAGGGTACCCATCAAAGAGAAAACCAATTCAATTCACTAATCACTATGATAAGAAGTTTACTTTGTTCCTAGTAATCAGCAAGCTATTAAATTGCGTAGCATAAATTTTCAATTCAAAACCAGCAACTTTCCCAATCAAACCCTGACCAATCCGTGCACATAATCAGGAGTATTTCATTGAACTTCACTTAAAAAGTTTAACAAAACTCTACAGAAAGCATACTCCTTTACCATTTCAGAATCGTATTTATTGGGCAGAATCAATTGTTTGTTCAGTCTTTGTCATGCAACAAAAGTAAGATTCTTTACGCAAATCACAAAGGAATCATCTCAAATCAAGCAATGAATTTATAGCCACACAAAAAATACAGGCAAATCGGCACAAGAAATACAAATACAAAATACGCACTAAAACTAGCAACACAAATTGATCAGATAAACCAAATAGCAATGTGGGTTCTCTCAAAACAGCCATAAAAACCAAATCTACCCTCCCAATTGAGCCAATTCCAAATCAACAAAGGGTTCAAGGAATCAATCAAAGGAAACCCAAAAAAGTACCTCTTTTTTGGCTTAACGATCCGTGACCGATTTCAAGAAAATTCAGTAAAGGAACCAAAAAGAAGGCCAAAAGGGTTTGCTGTACATAAGAAAAGTAAAGTAAATGTAAAAAGCAAACGAGTAATGAAGAAGAAGAAGCTAACCATGAAAAGGAAGAGATAAACTGACAGACTACTGTGGATTTGCGGTGCTACCGATGCGTCATATTATTAGCGAAGTGACTCTCTTAGTGTCCACCACCACGCGTCTATCTCAGCGTCCACCCACGAGTCTGCTTCAGCCTCTGAGTGAGGAGAGTTTTGCATTGCCGACGCACTTGGAGAAAAAGAAAAACAAAGATTTGATTTGAGTGTGCTTGAGAGTTGTTTTAGCGATGCCAAAGGTTGTTTTAGATGTAAATTGTAATAGATAATCAAAAACAATTTTGTAGTGTTGGGTTGAAATTATGGGTTGTTAATTGGATTGGTCGAGATTTTTGGTGTGTCTACGGGTACTCGTGCGGGTTAGTTTCCTCCTCCATTTCTTAACTTTGGCAACAAAAATATTTTTAGGTTGTGGTATTTCTAGTTTAGGAATATTAGTTAATGTTTAGAATTAATGGTTTCCACATATGTTAAGAGTGCACAAAAGTTTGTAATTGTGTGAGAACATATAGAAAAATATATATATTTGGATTTCAATTAATCCATTTTGATCCTTTAAAAATACTTTATATCGATATCTTGAATATCAGAATACTCTTTAAAAAGATCACGTATGAATCGTTCACAACTTTTTTAAACAAAATTTGAATTGATGCAATTTTTCTGTAGGTAACAAATTGTAACACCACCTATGCTTCAAATGGTAATGGTCTTATAGAGAATGGCCCAATACAATGGGAATTGGTATGCTATTGCCCTAAATTCCAGACCTCAATCTTTATACTCATTTGAAATCAACCATTTGTAATTTTTTTCATTAACTAATTCTTAATTTAGTGATACTTCTCTTTCCAAGATTAAAAGAGATTTAGACTTCGATTCATCTCCCTGCTGATTATAAAAACACAAATCATTTCTTATTTGTCCACTTCTCACTAGGGTGAGTCACAGTTTGAGCTATCCAACTAGGTTTATCATATCATCCACCATGGGCTTTATCTCCAAATAAGCTTAATCAAATTTAGTGGACCAAATATTCAAATTAATATGGTGAGCCATATAGAATTTTGGGCTCATGGTTGTTTGAGCGCACGCTTGACTAGTTAGCACATGCTCAAGGCCGACCCTATAGGTTACCATGCAACCAAAGACTTAGACAAGTTATTTTATTTTGCAAATGTTGTATTGAACTGAATAGCATTTTATGTGTCAAAGTTGTCATAATATATTGTGCATACTTGATAAAAACTTTCAACACACAAATACATCTTCGATAGGGTTTTCGTTTTGTATCTTATACGAACAAGTACAACTATATTCGCAAATCTAAATCCTCCTATAAAAATGTAATCCCACCAATTGACTGCTGAAAACATCTTCTTATTGAATACGAATTCATACTATTATCAGATTCAAATTTAAATTTTATGGTGAAAAAATAAACCTATCACATCGCCAGTTTATAAATTATATTCTAACTATAGAATTTTATGTTAAGGCATAATTTTCGAGTGTATTGGAAAATTAAAATCGGTGGCAACTGTCAATCCTTGTATGGAACCTAGAAAGAGAGTTGGTTGACCAAATATAAATCTAAAAATTAAGAAGAAGAATATCCACTTGTGTTCATACTAGTAATTAGTTATCCATACGAACAACCAAGCTTAATCAATAGTCACCCCCGCCAAAAAACAAAACAAACTGATTCAGTCCAATACTAGTTAAACACGTGGTGCTCCCACATGGATCCAGCACTCTCATATGGCCCACCAAAACAATCTGCGGACCCCCCCACGCGCTAATTAAGCGCGTGCACAGTCCCCTCAGTGCCTAAAAACCACTCCTCTTCTCCCGCTTCGCAAACTCTCTGTGAGAAAAATCAGTCTTTCACTCTAATCACTTCTCCTAATCAAAATCAAGGACGGAGATCCCCAATCCCATATGGAGATCCCCGCGATTAAAAACCCTAACCCTGACCCCAATTCCAATCACCATTCCCATTCGCCGAGCTTTCTCCTGCCCAACGGCTTCGGCGAAATCGAGATCTCCGATATCGAGATGATAACGATACAGACCGTCACCTACACCAGCCTCAAGGACCTGTTGCCGGCGTCGCCTCCGACGATCATGTCGCCGACGCATAATTCCAGCTGGCACGAGATTCCGATCAAGAACCCGCTCGTAAAGCACGCGGCTTTGGCTTACCTGCAGCCGATGTCCACGCCGCCCGAGGTCGGGGACAAGGGGCTGTTGCGGATGCTCAGGGAGAAGTGCGTCTGCGGAGGCGCGAACGGGCTCGGGTGCTTCGCGTGGCTCGGCGACGTCGTTTTGAGTGGAGTTAGGGATGTGTTTGGGGGCGTTTGTAGGAATGGGTGCGAGATTGGGGATGAGGAGGATGACGATGATGAAGAGGACGACGACGAGTACGTGAAGGTTGACTGAACAGAAGGGGAGGGGCATTTTTGGAAAGTTATGTGTTGACTTTGACTGGTAGACAGTACAGAGAGTGAGTGAGTGAGACTTTTGTGTACAGAATTTTGGTTTTTATCTTTTTACATTTTTTTATTTTTTTATTTGGGTGGTGAGTGAGTTGTGAATAGGTATACATTGTGTTCGATTTATTAATCGCCGAACACATGATTGATTCGTGGAAGAGAATTTGAATTTTTTTTTTTTTTAATAAAAAATTATTTGAGAGAAATTTTCTTGTGGAATTGTATATTTTGAAGGTTTTTATTTGAGAGAAATTTTCTTGTGGAATTGGTTTTTCTCCGAATGAGTTTTGTGCTTTTCTTTTTTGAATTTTAATGATCAAAGTTTAGTGTTTAACCCTCAAGTTTTGGGCGATGAATTGTATAATCGATTTAAAGGATGAGTTCAACTCTTATTGGTCTGAATTCTTAACTCGATTTCAAGTAATCTAAATTCATAATTCATATCTAAATGACACCCTTGTTCTTCATTAAACTACATGTAATTTGTTAATAATTTGTAACAATATATTTAACTTAGAGGTGTACATCGGTTCAAAACCAATACAATTTAGTCAATTCACATATGATTTAATATAGATTGGATTGTGATTTTTTCAATCCGATCGGATCCAATTGATGTTTGATTAGATTGGATTGAATGAACAGTTTTGATAATGGAAAAAGACACAAATGAAATATTAAACATTTGTCCTTAGATTTAATCTAATCAAACATATTAGAGAAAATTGTTTTGATTATATAATATATTAAACATAATTCCATTAAATAACTTAAAATATTCATAACCTTTTCAACTACAAATACCTACTGGAGCCAAATAAGCATAAAATCCATATAATGTTATTTTATTGTTTTGCTGCACAATCTATTAATAAAAACAACATGTTTTTTGGAGAGAAAAAAAAAACCGTTAGCCAACCACTGCCCAGCCTCCATCGACTCCATGGTAGAGGTCGACCCTTTGTCACCTTCAATGCCTTCTTATGGTCCTTCTCTTTAGCTCTTCCGACAATAGGGTTGCATATTATTATGATTCTTTTGCTCTGTTTTTATTGGTTAGTTTTTTCCGCTTTTGTGGATTGTCAAAGAAAAAAGAGCCAATTTGGGTATTATGCGTATAACGAATACACAAATAAAATACCTAGAATACCGTTAATTATAAAAGGTAGATGTAAGATGGGCCTAGTGAAATAAGGATTGAGCTTTACCTTAGATTGGCTAAGCCCTAATTCCAACTTCACTAGGCTTGTCTTTCACATACTTTATGTGGGAAGACACACACTTAAAAACACTAAAAAATTTATTTAGTTTTTCAATGTGGGACTCAAAATTCTCTATATAGAATATTCATATCTTTTAAAGACATCACATCACGCATTGCGCAAAGCTCATTTCTACTCAATTTTCTTCAAATTTAATTTGAGCACAAGTGAAGTTTTCTCAATTCGACATAATATTCAATCTCTATCTTTAACGAGTAGAATTACATTTTTATCACAATGAAATTGGGGTCAAGCAACCTTGAAAATGTTGGTAGCACATTTTGAAGACCAAAAATATGCATTGACGTACTGTTAATGCATGAAATAAGGTAAACTTTTGGTCCAATAATAATTATGCAATGCATGTGCATCACTAAGATTCGGTGTCCAAGCAAACCTTCAAAATGTTGTGGTAGCAAATTTTCAAACATCAAATATGCTCAGAGACTGGTGGGTATATATTTTCACATGTTTCGAATAAATTATTCCAAATGCCAACTCCTTCATGGGACCATGACTACGACGTTTTGGGAGCACTGTCATTACTATTATGACTAGGATTTTGTCTTTAATAGGAGATTACTTAAGTGCTAATCTTCTCATGAGGGAAGCACGTACGTCATCAAGGGAGATGTTACATCAAAATAGAAGAAAAAAACGTTTATGTAGTCCAACAATTTTCACTATTATGAATTCAGTTTTAAGTGGACATCCGTTAGGTACATATATTTATATTATTTTTTTGTTACAACGAAAGAAAATAGAAAAATAGAGTATAAAAAAATATACTAACTTCATAGATTTATTTTGTATAGCTAATTTTATATCTTTTTATTGGGTAATGCTAGGTATACCACATTTATATACTACATTGTGTACCACTTCTCTAATAGACATGGAGCCCACCAATATAATGGGCCACACCTCTATTGATAAGCTGTTACACAATGTGATACATAAATGTGGTATCCTTTTCCTTATCATTTTGCACTGACTAACTCTTCATATGGTAATATTTTTCTTTGTCATGTTGAGAGAATTTTTTTGATTTTTATATCAATTTAATAGTCCGATTTTTGAAAATAACTACACCTTTTTTATTTTTCTTTTTGGTTACATAGGCCGAAGCCCAAAAGAAAACAAATAGTAGCCTAGAAAACCCTCCTAACACCGGTGGGTGCCCTTTCAGTGCACGGGTCTTCAGTTTTGATATTAGTTATATAAATTTTACTTGTATTGTGAGCATCAAAATCCGCTGTAGCACAACTTAAAAGGATTGTTGATTAATCCGGGTTCGACTCCCGGCGGCGGAATAATTTTTTTTTTCTTTCTCTTAACAATTCCTGATGTTTCATCCAGTTTTGACAATATTGAGTATATACACCAACTTTCTATAAAACTAGTCCAAAGTTACCAATAATCACCACAATTTTTTCTTTCTCTTAACAATTCCTGATGTTTCATCCAGTTTTGACAATATTGAGTATATACACCAACTTTCTATAAAACTAGTCCAAAGTTACCAATAATCACCACAATTTTTTCTTTCTCTTAACAATTCCTGATGTTTCATCCAGTTTTGACAATATTGAGTATATACACCAACTTTCTATAAAACTAGTCCAAAGTTACCAATAATCACCACAAGAGCAACTCCCGTCTATGAAGTGGTGAAAGACCTTAGAATCCCCTACAACTATCTCTCTCTTGGTTATCTCTGAAATCTTCTTTGCAGCATTATGGCAATCATCACAGATCCTCGTGTTTTTCCTAACAACAACAGGGCTTCTGAGTTTTGTGGAGATCAACCCGAAACAAATTGCCAATCTTACACTGTGACTCTCTGCAGAACTTGCTCTCTTTCTCTTCAAATCCAACGGTCTGAACTTGGTGATGCTATGAACATATTTGTCTTCCCTTATCTTCCTCAAAATTATATCTAAAACAGCATATATTGTGTTAGTTTCGACGTGGGACCTGTCTTGGTTGATGAATCTGTAAGGCCTACAATTGGTCTCAACAAAGCTGCATCCAACAGTTTTCTCTAGTCCTCTTTGCTTCATAAGAGATTTTATCCGTTCGACATCTTCCCACCTCCCAGCTTCAGCATACATATTCGAAAGCAAGACATAGCACCCGGTGTTATCATGTTCCAAGGATAAAATGCGCTCAGCAGCAAGTTCAGCCAATTCTATGTTTCTGTTGTTTCTACTTGCAGTAAGTAATGATCCCCAAATTCTTGCTGTGGGCACCAATGGCATCTCCTCAATAAAAATCTTGGCCGTGTCAAGATTGCCTTTTCGACCAAGAAGATCAATCATACAACCATAATGCTCTATTCCAGGATCAATACCATAGTCCAGTTTCATCGAGTTAAAGAATTTCCAACCCTCATTGACCATGCCCGAGACACTGCAAGCTGTTAACAGGGAAACAAAGGTGCTCTCATTAGGTTGAATGCCCTTGTCTCTCATTTTGGAGAACAATTCAATGGATTTTGTCCCAAACCCGTGAATGGCATAAGCCATAATGATACTGTTCCATGAACTGACATCCCTGGATATCATCCTATCAAAAATTTCTTGTGCAGTCTCTAGATTCCCACATTTTGCATACATGTAAGCAGTAGCGTTCGAGATGAAGGTATTTGAATTGTGCTCCAACTTTGAGATATAGCCATGTATTTGCTTCCGCTCCCCTAGTGATGCTACTTCAGAATAGGCAGGTATGATGCTTGAAATTGTAATTGCATCCGGTTCAAGATGTTTACTCAAGAGGTCCCAAAATAGTTCCAAGGCATCCTTGTTCTGTCCACTCTGTACATACGCAGAAATCATGCTATTCCATGATATCAAATTCTTTTCAGCCAGCTGACCAAATATACGCTCTGCCGATTTCATCCTGCCACAGGCACCATACAGATCAATCAGAGAAGTTTCCAAGATGATATGAGGGAGAAACCCTCGTCTAACGGCATAACCATGGACAGATTTACCCTCCAATAGGGCTCCTACTTGCGTGCACGAAGGGAGCAAATTTATCATTGTGATAGCATCAGGATTCAATTTATCAGCCTGCTGCATCTTTTTCAAACAAGAAAGTGACTCAAATGGACGAGCATTTAGAGTATATCCATGTATCATTGCATTCCAAACCACAACATTCTTGGTAGAAATCTCATCAAACAACCTCTCTGAATAGTCCACTCTACCACATTTGTGGTACATGTCAATAAGCGAGGTCTGAACCATGATATCCAATTCAAGCATACATTTAAGCACCTGGCAATGTATTTCCTTCCCAGTTTGGAGAAAACACTCAATAGCACAAGCATTAAGAGCGCTGATCGTACTGAATCTATCAGGCTTCATCCCAAGCACCTGCATTTCTTGCAAACACACCAACGAGCTCCAACCATCCCCAACAGAAACATACCCACCAATCATAGAATTCCAAGAAACTAAGTCTTTAACAGGCATTTCTTCAAACACTCTCTCTGCATACTCTATGCAACCAAGTTTTGCATAAGCAGCACAAAGCGCGTTCCCTACGTAAACATCTGAATCCACCCCAACTTTAAACAACTTGCCATGAACCTTTTGGCCTTCAGCCAACGATGACAATCCACCACACGCCTTGATTACAAATGGGTAGGTAAAATTATCGGCTCGAACACCTTCGCTCTGCATCCTATGATAAAAATCAATCGCCTCTCGAAACAACCCATTATCAGTGAGACCTCTAATCATCACATTCCAGTAATATGTATCCAAATGGTTCATTTTCTCAAACACCCAGAGTGCATCCTCCATGCACCCAGATTCAATATGCTCACGAAGTGCCTGTTTGAGCGCGTAGTTTTGGACTTCGCAGGTGTTTGAATTCTTTGATTGTTTTCTGATACTACGAACCAATTTAGGAAATTTTGGCTGGTCGGAGTTTTG